CGTTTAAAAAAGTTAGTATAGTAATAACTTCTCAAACCCGATAAAATCAACTTATTACTAAGCTATTTTTATTTTTGACTATAGAATCCTACAGCTTTAATGAAACCTTCTATATGGTTTTTTTTTATTACTTTATTTCGTTTTTTTAAAAAAAGTATTCTATACTGTATAAATAATGTAAAATTAATTTGAATTTATTAGCCAATCAGACGAACTTTTGCCTATGATATGATATCCAAGGTTCTTTAAATGATCGATTTTACAACGATAACCCGAAACAATAAATAAATCCATAGAAAAAAGGTTCAAATCGACATCTGGATATAATGACATCATAGTAAGATCTTTCTCGTCATTTTTTTATAACGATCAACAGTTTGAGATTTTTTTTAGTAATGTCTTGATATAACCAGAATGATGTGTATTTAATAATGAATACTTATAATGTCTATCAAACATCACATTTCTACAAGTTACTATTTTCATTGCATATACATAAAAACATTATAAACAGTTTATTCAAAGTATTATCTGTGTGTCAGTAATCCTAATAATTATTTATTAAATGTTTAAATAAACAAAAATTCGTCAAAAAAAATGAAAATTTCGTTTATTGACATAGCCATATCGACACGTGAAAATTACTTTTTTTTTTTTGACATACATACATATTTACCATACTTACAGAATAAACTGGCATACATGCATTTTTTTTTTAAAGCCATGCACATGAACTTGAATGACGTAAGCTAGGAAATTGCTTTCATGAATATATAATTTTATAAGACACAAAAACGCATTTATTGAAAAACTTTTTTATAAATTAAAATGTTGGCGCAAAAAAAAAATAAAAAAAATACAAGTTACTGAAATGTATTACTGTATTATGAAACAAATGTATGCAAATTTTGGATTGTTGAAAATCCGTGGGGAAAGTTTCATATTATCCTCATGGTTCTGTAGTTAGCAAAGATAACACAGGGATAATATGGTCCTGTGATCGAGTCTGAATAGTCACTAGATCGTGTAGATACCTATATCGATATCACACTTCAAATATTTGAATGGCCATAATCTTGTGTTTCTGCTCATTACTTACTACACGTACTTTTTCTGATCATTACTAACTACACGTCACTCTTGTTATACCGACATCTGGATATAACGACATCATAACAAAATCTTTCTATATTGACATAAAATGTCGGTATAACTCACTGTATCGACATTTATTAATGTCTCAAAAACGGAGTTACGTGTACACGTACTTTTTCTGCTCATTATTAACTACACGTACTTTTAGCCTCTTCAAAATCATCCATATCTACTGTATCTTGTATAAATTTAAAATTATAACACTATAGATTATAATCAATTGACACAAATTTGTTAGTTAATGAAAAAACTTTGACAATATCAGTTTAATTAGACAGGTCAAGATTGATTATTGACCAGGTCGTGTCAACCTTTATTGTAATCATGTATATACTTTGTTGTATGTAATGTTACTGATTACCTGTTACTAGAACTTTTAAGACATACGGGTAACTCCGATGAATATGTAAAATTTCTGTATAAGTAAATTCGTTTAACAGGAAATATTTACTATAACGATAACGAGATAACGGTGAAATAACTACGTATTCAATATTTATGAAACAAAAAGGCTTATTTTACATAGTTTAATGATATGTATAGTTGTTATAGTTATATATAACGATATATTATCAAAATAATTGATTTTTTTTTTAATATGTAAATAGATATTAGATTTAGAGTTTATTATTCAGTTATTGAGACTATCTAAATGCATAATAATATGCAATTAGAAGTACAAACTATCAATATACACTCAATTTAACAAATTTATATAATAACATAACATTAAAAAGTTTAACATTAACAAATATCGATATCGATACGTACTACATTATGTATACATACGTACATATACTGAATATAGTAACTCTTACACCAGTAAGATTAGGTTTCTAAACAGCAAAAAGATTTATACTACTTACTCTGGTAAGACAGTAAAATTAAAATTGTTAATCACCTGAACAATCTTTCAGCAAATGTGTCGGATTAAAATGAAATTGTGTAAAGTGTAAAAATAGACAAGCCACAGAAAAATACAAAATTTTGGAATGCATTTTTTTTAGCGTCAGGGTAGGATTTATATTAAACAAGTATAAGCGGGGTTCAATTTTCATTTTAATTCTATTTCATTATGATCCGTGACGGTAAATGGTTTAAAAGAATATATGTAGCATATATACGGAGAAACGGATTCGGAATTTTTATACGTACCAGCATTTTGAGGTTGATCCTAACCTTAATTTAACTAGGAACTTAAATTCCCATTCCTACTTACAACATATATATAACAGGAGAAAAACTATCGCTATGATTTATTTAGTAATGTCTAATAAATAATATATACGTGTACAGTATTTACTAATAATAACTATGAATAACTACGAATAGCTAGTTGCTACGTAGGAATAACTACGCACGTACGTACTGTACGTATGTAAGAGTAAATCGATGACCAATTTTATTTTGTTACCATAAATGTCTAATAAGGAGTAAGGAGTTTACGGAAAAGATATTAACAATATTGGGAAAAAAAAAAGAATTATAATTAACCCGTACTTTTGAGATTTCTCAAATTGTGTAAAACCGATCTTGTCAACAAAAAATTTCATAATCTAGATTTAATAAAGTTATTAATTTGATTGGTACATATTTTTTTCATTCATTCACTTTTTTTCATTCATTTTTTTCATTCATATCGATATAAAGATTACGTTTTTTTTTTTTATTTAACCGGTCATCAACTTCCTAAAAAGAAATTAATATTTATTAATAGTGTACCCCAGATATTCCCAAATGTTACAACGAATCAAAATATACCGAAACAACAAAGCATGAAAATGATAAACGAGATAAACAGCACATGAAAGTAAACTTTGATTTTATTTATGTATGTCATGGGAGTATGACAAATATTATTAACGAAATTTTTTAAATGTAAATAATATTAGTCAATTTCTTTTATTTTTCGGAACAAGAATTTATTTGAAAGTTCTTAATTTATATTATAATAATAAAAGAATTACATCTACATACGTAGTTATATTACATAACTATATAGCTATATAGTAATATGGTTTTTTTCTTTTTACCTTACAAAATCAATTTAAATAATCCAATAATCCTATTAATTAAGCTATTATATAGTATTTTCTAGAGAGATTAAGGATCGGAGTTTTTTACTTACATAGTGATGACAATAACAAATGTGGAAAAGATAAACAATTTACATAACGATAAGGCTGAATCAAAATCTTTACCGCCAATTTTTTTTGTGAATTTTTTTTTTTTTTGCTACCGCTACAATTAAAAAATAAACAAAATACATGACTGGTTAAAAAAATGGATCTTGATTCTCGCAAAAATAATAATTTATTGTCTGACCTGTTTAATATTCAACTTTTGGCGCAATCAAATTTAAAGTATATAACTATAAATAATTAATAACTATATATATATACTGCTGTACTGAATAACGTTCTCATTCTTATACGTACGTACAAATAGATTTGATACGTATATCAAAGTCAAAGCGCGCAAAACTTAATAAATTTTTTAATATCTGATATCTGTTATCTGATATGTTAACATCTGATATGTTAATATATTAACAGTGTACGTACATACGTACGTACCGAACGCATACATACATTCATGATCTCACTTTCTGCGAATTATGTGATGGCGCAATCACGTATTCTATAATAGTAAAAGCCAATTGGATTATTAACATATTAAATGCAAACAAACACAATGAATGCCAATGAATACTAGTGAAAGCCAGTGAATATTTAGTTGTGTTATCTATAATTTAGGTTAAACCACTGAATTTTAAAGAAACTAACTTTCAGTACGTACGTACACATCTGCATCAATAATGCGTTGTAACGTTTTCCAAAACCGGATTAGACCGAAGAGGCACATCGGTTCAGAATTATCGTTATGATCAAAGAATTTATTTTTATTTAAAAGAACATCAAGGATCCATCACTATTTACTCTATTATTATTATTATTATAGACAGACACAAAAATTATCAGAGTTAGGTTTGTAAAGTTTTGTCATATAAAAAAGTGATAGATCATAACATAATATCAATCTGCGTATATATATTATCTATTTATACAATAGATATACCAGTATTTGGTAAACGACATATACGAACTTGGGAATGAGGGCGAGCGGACGATACCTTTTCTAACGTGCATGATATAACGTATTACGACAGTTTCTAATTACCAACTTGGTTAACCCGAATCGGTTAACCCAACTCGGTAAACGTTTTGATAACACTGCATTTTTTTTTTTAAACTAAATCCAAATTTGAAAAGTTATAAAATAAAAAAGAAATATTGTAATCTAAAAAAGCATGAGATAAAAAACTCTATTAACATTAAGAAGGAATTAAAAAAAAATCTTTTTATTAATAATGTTAATAATTACTTTGAAATAATTACTTTGGATTTTTATATATATATATATATATTAAGGTCATTTTATGAATTTTTTTTTTTTTTTTGTATGTATTACTTAATAGAAATTAGCGAGCAGAAATTACTAGATGAACTTTGTACAGAACAAGAAAAAAAAAAATTTAAATCATAATTTCTACGTTAAAAAAAAATTCTCGCGAAATCTGTAAACTAAAAAAACAAACAAAACATATATATACTAAAGTTCATTGCACCATAAGACAATAAAACAAAATAAATATTATTAATGTGGAAGCGAAAGAGTAAAGACGCGTCACACTCAAAAAAATGACTAATAAAAGAAATCAAAGAAATCAAAAAAACAAATGAAAGAAAAACATTATATTTACAGAATTGTTAACAGTATAGCTTAGAAAAAGATTATAATAAGGTCAAACTTTGTTCATGCTATACGATTAAAAGGGTATATATCTAATAACTGGTCGTCGGATGGGAAGATGTTGAACGATGGGGACGAGATCGTGATTTCTTAGACTTATGGGTTGGTTTATAATCTGTTATATTGAGCTGTGACTGTGACTGGTCTTGATCTGAAGTTTTCTTATTAAACATATAATAAAGAGACTTGTGATGTTGTGGTACGAAGATGAGATGAGCTCCTGGCGCAATATTATTATTGCTGTTAATAAAGTATTAAGTATTAAGAAGTGTTAATAAAACGTTAAGAAAAATTGTCAAGAGTATTAAAGTATGTAAAATAAATAAAAATTCTTTATTTATTTATTTTTTTTACAAACCTCGAACTACCACCACAGAATGATATGAACAAGGCCAAAAAGAAAATAATCAAGTTTTCAATGATATTATTAGCCGCATTTGTTATAATTGGTATGATACTAAGATCTTTGGCATTTGTTACGGACAAAAGCGAGAACATGTTTGATGTTTGTGGACGTGTCATCTTCAATGATTTATTTGACAAAAATTTGACAAAAAGCTTAAATTTGTTATTTTATGAGAAGCGTATGGAGGAGTTTTTTTTTTTTCAAAGGAACGAAGAAAGCTTCTGACTATATATATATATTATGTGCGTATACGTATATATATTGTATATATAGATATATATATAGATAATGTATGTACAGTATTAAAAAAAAATAATAATCTTATGCACCTCCTTTTCAGGATAAATATACACTTTCTAACAAGTCAATAAAGGACGAACCTTGCAGAAAAGAAATTGTGTGAACGACAAAGTCGGAAATTTGGTCTTACGGTCCTTTTTATAATTTTGGCAACGCCATTTTTCAAGTTTTACAAATTTTCATTAATTCATTTATTCATTACTTTATTAACGTTATTACTGTATTAATAAAAAATATATATATATTTATTATTAATTGTGTGATGATCAAATATTTACTTTAAACTGCATATATCATTGAATAGTTGATTTAGACTACTTATGATTAATCTATAGTAATATATAGTAATATATAGTAATATATAGTTAATATATAGTTAATATATAGTAATATATTAATGTATAGTAATGTATAGTAATGTATAATAATATATAATTCGTTATCGATAACCGATAATGCAAATATGTAAATTGCGATACGTACCGAAAAAAGTGACACTAGAATTCATTTGTTAAACAAAATTTCTTAACAATTAAAGTGTCATCATATTTAATGAATAATAATTTCTTCTTATGGTTTATTACTTAGAGTAGAAAACAAAATGATTTTTTTCTATATTTATATGTACAGTATGTACATACGTACATGTAAGATGACAACGATAACGTTAAGCCAAATGAATAAATCAAATGAGAATAATAGGTGTAATTATTTCGTACAATTATTATACCAGCATACTTTCGATCTCCGAATCAAGGATACATTCTCCGTTTTAAATAAATTTATCTTAAATTTATCGTTATGAAACTTCTTCAAAAAATCAACATAATACCTTTCTTTTTTAACCACATTTAGTTTGATATGCAATTATTAAACCTTACATATAAAATTTTCATTCGTCTCTGATTTAGAAAATCGGGAAATCAAGGTGCTGCGGAAAGTGCATCTTAACTTTTTAGTCACATCATTTGCTCCCCTTTATTTTAATTGGTAATGAATAGATGCATTGGATGGTGGCGATGTCATTCAGTGCCATGTATTAAATCCTGTCTGCTTTAAATCTTGTTAAATTTTTGTCTGTTGTCTGTGTTTAAATCCTGTCTATGTTAAATATTGTTTGTGTTAATCTTGTCTGTCTTGTCTGTCTGTCTGTCTATCTGTGCTTTATCGTTATCTACCATCATCAAGCTTATAAGTTATCGATATTTATACAGTATACAAACATCTGTTATCTTTGTTATCTTTGTTATCATTTGTTCGTTTGTATCCTTCTAATGCAATACCGGCATGTAATTCCGACTTAATCATGACCTTGCTTTGAGAATGGCTAATACTGTAAAATTTATAAAATTCCCTTTATTTAATCATCGTCCTTTAATCATCATCCTTTAATCATCATCCTTTAATCATCATCACAACACAATTACCCGTATTAGCTTACTTTTTTGGTTTAATTTTGGATTTTGTCATGGTTTTATTAAGTTCACATGTTCGTTTTTTTTTAACTCAAATTATTGTCACATTTTCTTAATCGCACCAATAATCGCCAAATTTATCGATTCGTTATTTGATAAACTCTTCATTATTTACTAAATTTATTTCTATAATTATTAGATTAAAGTGTTACCACGCGATTTAACATCCGTACATCCGTACATACGTACGTACGTATGTACGTATGTCCCTAGCGCTAAGATTTTCAATACGCAGTATTTATTATTTGTTTTTCTAAAAGGTTTCATTCGATTTCTAAATATGTTAATTCATGTGAAATTTTTTTTGCTTTATTTACGTAACATCATTATACGTATAGTCGTGTTATTATTATGTTGCATAAGTGCTCTCCATTAATTATTATCGGTTTTAATGTTAAATTAAGGTTATAGGTTTGAAAAATTTTCGTGAAAATTTTCGTGTTTACATTTATGTTTCAATTGCATTTTAAGAGTGATGTACAACTATAAGTTTTTTTTAGACTCGGCTTTATAAAATAGGGTTTTACCGCCCACCTAACGCTAAGCCATTGTCAACAAATAATAAAGTGGCAAAAAAAAAAAAAAAATCTAAATGTCGTTTTACAGTATTTTTACATATTAATTTTTCTCGATTTTACATTATCTACCATCATCATTATTATCATTATCATCATTTTTTTCATCATTTTTAAGGAAACATCGTTATTATGAATTATTTTGAATAATACTTTTAACAAATAATTAACAAATAAAAATTTATTAATATTATCTACAGGTTCGTGTCACTAATTTTCTTGTGATCAGGATTACGTATATGCGCATTTATCGCATTTATATAAATGTCGTGTAAATTTTCACAATTTTGTACTTATACTATATGATTCTCCGCAATCACCTGAATGGTACAATAATTTATTATTTTCATGTTCTCCTTACCCCACCTTAAAAAATTTACATTATTATTTTTTTTTTAAAAAAAAAAGTGTCGTTGATCTTTGCGTAATTACGCCATTATTTTTTATATATCGATATACTTCCTCAAAATCTTTCCAAACCTTTGGTTATTGGTCTCACAACAGTAAAAAAAAGTAACGCAAACCTTTGAATAAAATTCCACAATGTAATTTGGATCGACGATAAACAAACAGTAAATATAAACAAAGCCATTCGCCAGTTTTAGATTCTTATAAAAAAATATAGTTAACTTCCTTATATGATATATAACTCTTACTTTGTGAAACTCTTTACTTAAAGGTTTGGTAATTTATTTATCCAAAATTTCGTTTCCATAAAAAAAAACGTGTTACTCAAAAATTATTAAAATTATATATCGTAGTTATTTCGTTGATCAATTTATTTTTCAAAATTTTACGTCCTGAAAAAAAAATAACATTCTCACACTTATACGTATATTGTATCTGCAAATTTAATACGTATAATATACAGTATGTACCACAAAGAGAAAATCTAGACTTTAAGTAAATCTAGGCTTTAGTTTTTTTTAAGTTTATAACTTATCGGGCTTTGTTCCTGAAAAAACTCTGCTCAGCAACATACAGTATATATTGATCATATGTCGCTGATCATATGGACAACCGTCAATAGAAATAAGGCAGATTAACATTTGAAAAAAAAATTTTGGCTTAACTTTCATAGTTCATATCTCAATAGATTTTGATACTATCTTGATTATTTAATAGTCAAAAGAAAGCTTACGATCAAAGCTTTCTTTTAAATCATCAAGATAGTATCAAAATCCATTGAGATATGAGCCATGAAAGTTAAACCAAAAATTTTTTTTTCCAAATGTTAATCTGCCTTATTTCTATTGATGACTGCCCATATATATTTATTTTTTTATTAACTTTAAAAATCTAAAGTCGGATTTTCCATTGGCAGTATTCATTTGGTGATAGTATGATTTAAAAATTGGTCTTTATCTTTAAAATACGGTATTACTTAAAGAAGTATAGTTGAAAAAGTTAAAAAGTAGTTGCGTATGATAAAATTGTACGTATGATAAATATAATATGTATAATAATAATAAAAAACATAACAATTATATAGTTAATTCTACAAATAGTTTAAGACTAAAGTAAACTATTTTTAAATTATGTATAAATTTGATTGCAAATTTTTTTTTTTTATATATTTAATTTTTGAAAAAATATTAAATAACTTATTTTTAACTATTAAATAAAGTTTGTAAAGTAATTCTATTAATAATAAAAATTTTATTATTTAATTTAGTATTATGTAAAATCAAAACAAATTACTATTACATTAATTTAAAGTAAGAATTAATGTTAAAATAGATTAGTACAAAACAGCTAAGTAAACTATTTTTATATTATATTAAAATGTAAAAAAATATAATTTTATAAACAAAATTATGAGCTATAAGCAATTTTTATAATATTGCAATTTTTTTTTTAATTTTACATTACATCTAATTTTGAAATCTAATTAGCTGAACAAATGAGTATATTATAATACAAGTGCATAAATTATATAACTCTAATAATAATATTATTAAATTAAGTAAAAAACTTTTTTTTAATTTTATTAATTTTGCTAATTATTTTTATTAAAAAAGATTTGTACAAAACTGGTTTAAATTTTAATTTGATATTTTTTAATTATTTTAAGTATTTAAAAATAGTTTGTTATACTAATTAAAAAGTTATTTAAACCTAAAAGTTATATTAAGTTAATTAATTAAGTTACAAAAAAATAATCTTATATATTTATTTTTTTGCCTATTAAACTAATTTTTTTAAAACTAAGTCTTTTATTCAGTATTATAAAATATAACAATTTATAATTAAAACTTTAACAAAGTTAGTTATAATATATTTATAATATCTTATTTAAATAGTCTGCTTATAGTTCTATACTAGCTACTATATCTGCAATCTAACTACAATCATTGCTTATTTAAACTCTTTATATTGCTTTTTTTTTTTTTAATATTAAAATAAGTACTTATAATCTAGGAGTTTATTAATAATTTGTCAACATATGACTATTGTATATAACAGTTACAAAGGCAATTATAGAAAAAATATACAACTAGTCACTTGTATAACTTTAGTCATTGTCTATTTTAAGTAGTTTGCCAAAAGGTTCTATACTAGTTATCATACCTAGAACCTACCTGTAGATTTTCTATAATTTTTATATTCATCTTTACTTTACTAACTGCAAATTAATTACAAATATATTATAGTCACTAAGTCATGTTTAATTTTGTACTAAGCTTACTGAAGCTTTTTGTACTAAGCCTACTAAAACTTTTTGTATCTCATACTTATAGCTAACCTGGTACTGCTTTGACCTAG